TACTGTTGGTTTACTGTCAGTTCGAAATTTGGTACCCTTCAACCCCCTCCCTAAATACGTTCCTGATCACCCCCAATAGATTTGGCTGTTTTCGCCTAGAAATCGTCTTTGTTTCTGTTTTAGATGGTTAAAAACAGATCATTTAATATGTGCAGCAAAGACAGCTCCTAGGAATAAAATAAATCAACGTCTGGTCGACAGGTAGCCTACTTCCTGCATTAAGTTAATGGTACTCATTTTTCGGAAAACTTTTAATGTATATACTTTGACTTTTGGGGTTTTGGTTGAAAAGCGTTGCTGGCTGTTGCGATGGAAACATATGTTTGCAAATACAGAAGTGAGAAGCTAAACTCCCGTTTTAACGGGAATGCGGAACTGTTGAACCACCAAGCATGCTTGGATGACGCCATGAAAAAAACAGAACTCGCCTCGTTTGGAAGATCACCCCTTGCGAGGAAAACATACTTTAAGCATGACGTAATTTAATATTCAGTTAGCTTTTTGGTTGTATATTCTTGGCAGTCAGAAAATCATAAAACATCTTCGATTTAACAAAAGGCTGCAAATGCAGGTTTATCAAAGCTATTAAAATAAGAACGAATTACTTAATACTCAATGTTACCAAAAAAACTCAAAATATGAAAATTTACTGAATTATGACAGAAAAACGGTAGTTACCTGGAACTCAATTCGTAATTATTCAATTTTGGTGCCAACGAGAAAATTTTAATAACGTTTATTGGGTTAAATATATAAGCCAAACAGTTAAAATATAAAAGTAGATAATGATAGAAACAAAATATTGATCTAAATCAAAATAAATGGCGCGATAAAAAATGATGGTGATGTGGCACCTTGAAGTTTGATCAAAATTTCACGGATAACGATACTGTTGAAAGACTAATATTAAATTTGCTGCTGTTGTTGAATGGAAAAACATCTCAAGCTTGCATTCATTATAAAGCTGTTATTCTAAACAACATTAAATAAAAATAAAAATAAATTCTCTATTCTTATGAGTTCCGAATCCAGCCCGTTTATCAGCATAGTAATTTGACTTTCATTGGCTTTCCATACAGTAACTGAAAAGTTGTTGGGAAAAATAATTGAATTGGATGACAAATGAGAGATGTTATAGGTATAGTAGAATGAACGCCTCTAACATGATTTCAAGATTTCCCTTTCAGTCATAAAAAATTGGCGATGCTAACATGTGAATATGAAAATGCAACATGGGAAAAATATGCCAAGCAAAGATCAATTATGATTATACATCTTACCTAAAAAAAGACAAAGGTATAAATAAGATGGTACACAGACAAAGTAAGTGGAAGATAACAGTGGCGTGTTGGGAGGGGGGCAAGGGGGGCAATTGCCCCACCTGCCGATCAAGTATCAAGGGCGCCAAAATGAATTTTTACGTTATAGGGGCGCCCAAGGCGCCCTAGCCAAATAGCTAACAAACGAGGAAAATTCAAATAAAAGAGCACAACATTATTAAAGGCGGACACTGTATAACAATCTACGATAAATCGCTTCGAAGAGTACAAGAATCACCTTACTACATACCATTTCTTTTTTCTTACTTACTCTAATGCACTGAACAAAGATTGTTAAACACCATCTCATGATCTCATGCTAAATCGAAATGCTTTTTTCAGAAAATAGCTACCATGGGCGTACCGAGGGAGGGTATGGGGGGGGGGGGGTGCTTTTGGGGAACCCGTCAACAATTTTTGGCTTGAAGGTAAAGTTCAGATTAGGCGCAATTTCATAAAAATATTGAGAGGGTGCAAGGAGTTTTAATGAAAAGAAATGCAAGGAAGAAAAGCTGAGAGATTATGTCCCAATCTGAAGAAAATTGTGTTACATAAGCTAAGATATTTAACAACGACACCAGAAAATCGATCAAATAGCAACCATCAAATAGCTTTCAGCCTGTGGATATTTGTTGAAAAGAAAGCTTGCGTTATTGAAAAATTGTTTCAAAAAGTGCATTTTCGAGCAAACTGGAAGCATCAAAATTCTTGCAGATAGATAATAGATGCTGTGAATCGACACAAGGAATTGCAAATGGCTTTGAAAAAAGCAAACATTTAGTAAACTAAAGCTTTTCGTCTGACACTCTTCAGAGTTTAAAACGTCCGAACATCGATCGAAAACTCTACGCTAGGAAATATATATACCCAGTTGTGGATCGAAACAGGCCAATCAGAAACACGAGCACATGACTGTTGAGGTTGACCAATCAGTGCCGCTTGCCTATTGAGAGTTTTTTCGTGCTTAAGTAGATAGATTCCAAAACTGCTAGGTGGAACGACGATCGGGCTTTCTCAATAATCCGAAACATGTCGCCATTATAGTTTTTTGCACAATCTGGGTTTTCCAGTAAATGCTGCCCGATAGCAGAATCGCAGGTTTTAGTTGTAATTTTAGATTTGCAAGACCGAGGTGGTTGTTCTCTTTAGGTACGAGTTTTGTTTCTAATACTAGACGTTTTGTTTCAAGAGCAGATCAATGTTTGGTAATAATTAATAAAACCTATTGAAAGTGCAGGAGGTGATGTACATCCTCTTGCAAGATTCCTTGTACTAACTATGATACTCAAAGCAATTGTGACAGAGACCAGGAACCTGAAACCAGCCAATTGAAAATAAAAGAAGACATATCAGGCAGAAGGAAGAAGATATCAATGAAAAAAGATGATGGCAACAGGGGCAGCACCACAGTGTGGACAAAGGTGGACATATCCACTCCAATTTTTCAAATGACTGATTTTTTATCCAGAATTGAGGAGAAAATGATGGGGGGGATGACTTGTGTGATTTTACTTTGCACCTTATAATTAATAACCACCTTTGCGCTTTAATGTCTGATTGAAGAGTAAAAATCTTTTTCAAATCAGTATATAGTGTGATATGAAGGATATAGGAACATGTCTTGATCATATGATATGTTGTCAAAGAAGGCGATGAAGCAATAATTGTTCCTTCACTGTTTCTTTTGTAAAACCTTTGAAGGATGGGTGCTTCAAGCACTTAAGAAGACATTGCACCTACAAAAATTAAGGGCAAGCTCCCTAATCCTCAGTCCACCCTACATATGTTGAGCTGGGACCACCTCTAGATGGCAAGGTCTTGTGCAAGCTATCAATATTTTGTCTCTGTACAGCCAGAGCTGAAGTTCAAGTTGCCAGTTAAGCTTCAGAAACTTGGGGAGAACTATTTTATTTCTTTTTAGTAAAACAAACCTAGTTTTTGGCATGAAAAGAAAACAAAGTCACTTATTATGTTCTCCTGATAATTTCTTTTAGTGCATGGTCTTTGACACCCATTGCATACAGTTTCAGGCATTTTTTAACGTAAAGACATGGGCAACTTAAGCTGATATAATGAAACAACAACATTGACCTCTTACATTCAGAGGTTAGCAACCCTCCCCAAACGGATCTCTGCCTGAAATGTTTTGCTTTGGGACCGATCCTTATTTGTATGGTTTTAATCACTGAAATATCGTGAACAACACCAGTTATCAAGTAGCACAGAAAAAACATCTCAAGGACAAGAAATGGAAATTAGCAAGAAAACACCAAATCATAACCTCGGGGAAAAAATTTTGGTCTTCTGGTGCATACAACCTTGTCTCTCAACCAGTGGTGGACTGGCTAAGAATTTTTAATCGGCTATGAAAAACTGAGGGGGGCCCAGGTAGGTGTGGTCTGAAAATTGGGGCTTGGTCAAATGAACACTGTATCAAAATCGATCAATTTCTAAGCAACAAAACATATGTAGCAGGAATAGCAAAGTTGAGCTGTTGATGACAAATGGGTGCAGAGAACTCTAATTGGAATTTCACATTAAATAATGGAAATTCGGTCTTATTTGGATTTCAGTAATTTTTGCCCAAGATACCTTCTTGTTGAAAACAAAGTTAAAAATGATAAAATAACTAACCTTAAAAGATAATAAGCTTGAAAGAATATCTAAGGTGTGAGGAAGCCTCATCTCTACTGAAACCTAACTAAAGATGTCAGACCTAATAGCAAACTACAAAGGAAAGTACACGAATTTGCTTTGCAGAGGGTATGGCTCCCATGAGGAATATATTGAATGCATTAGATTAAACAGCCAAGCGCAAGCAAAAACAAGATTATTTGGTAAAAGAATCTTTAAGAAGATGCAGAAGTCCAACATTGAAGTACCATTCCCATTGCAATATCTTAATGCCCTGGCTTGAGAAAATAAATAATCAGTGCTGAGTTTGAATAAAGTTAGCTACTGAATCACAACCACCACTGACAAAATATTAAAGTGAACTCTACAGCTAATTCTGTGCATATAAACTGAACCTGGGTCTATGAAAAATCAAAATTCCAGAAAATTCAATCATATCAAAAATTCCAATTCCCTGTTAGCCTCCCATAACCTACACAAGTCATATATTTTTTTAATTTTCAGCCAATCCTTTGTATAACCACATGCAATGACGTTATATTAAACTTCAGTTTTTATGTAACACATGACATTTATCATTCTTAATAGGATATTGTAAGGCCTCATTTTCCTAAAATGGGGCCCTTCTTCTGCAAAGATGGGGCCCTTTTTGCCAGATTTTATGGGCTGTTGGGCCAGTCAGCCACTGCTCTTAACTGAGCAATGATTCATTTCATGGTCAGTGTATAATTCAAGGGAAAAAACTACCCCAGTCTTTTACTCCAAAAATAACACGAACATGCCTGCCGCACAATTGAATCATTGTGTGAGGCTGCTAATAAAGTGGAGGGCAACAAGAAAAGCAGGAAGGGAAACAATGAAAGGTAACAGGGATGGGAGGGTAAAATACATGCACTGTAGATATGTTAGGGCACTGCCTTGCAAAAGCACTGCAAGACAGTTTGTATGATAATGGACAGTAACACTTTCCCAACAGGTATTCACTTGAATAAGCATTTGATTCCAATTGAAAATATAGCAAGATGATGGAAGAGAAGGAACATATCTCGGAAAAGCTTATCACCGAATACAAAACATAAGAAGCTGGAGAAGGGACGCCAGATCATGGATGTGTAAACAACCTGACCAGCGAAGATTATGATGATGAAGATTAGAATTACCTGATTTCCTTACAATTTTATTAAGTTTTTCTACAATTTGAGAGAATTTTTAATTGTTTCTTCCTTTCCACAGTGGTTTGATTCGTCAAAACAGCTGTTTGTTACCACCAGAACCTTGCATTTTTGTTTAAGAACATTGCTATAAAAACAAATGGTTTCCAGGTAATCCAGGTTGGAAAACATGTATGATTTTGCAGACGGGTCAATGCAACCAATGGCACATTATTAGCAGCAACCTGTGAGTGGAAGCAGTTTAGCTGCGAGCAATGATGCCCATTTATACATCACTTTAGTATAATATATGAATTCCTTGATATGTTGGGTCACTAGATGTGCAAGGTGCAAACAGAAGAAGTCTAGCATTGGTGCGAGCATATCAATACCCAGTGGTTTTGTTTCTAATATTTAAATAGAAAATATTTACAATCATCTTTTGAAACACCTCAACATGTTTGTTTTCTGAAAATGTATGTATTTATGCCAAACCGAAAGAAACAATCTTTCCAAACCAAAGAAAAATTTACTTTTCTACAATTTCTACAAATCTTCATACAAATTATACACAGCTAGATGGGCTAACAAAATAAGACCTCTAAACAAATCAGTTGCCATATTGCTGTGTGTTTTACCTTTAATGCTACTTGACTGCATATTTAAAAGAGATCTATCCCATTCTTTTCTTTTAACCAAACTTCCACTAAATCTAATAGATAACCAACAATACAGTTTCCCATTTCTCCTTTCATGCTGACAAATTGCTTACTATAACCTACAGGCAATTCCATGTAGCAGACATTACACCTCAAGTGTAATGAATTCTGATACATATATTAAGGTAGCAAAATGCATTTTATGGGCAGAGATTGATTTTTCTGAAAAAATTGTTGATATGCAACCTCCATGTCCGGATTTAACTGAGTGTTTTGAGCAAATAGACATTTTTTGGATGTAACAGACATTACAACACTTTATCAATTGATTATGGTACCTTGTTTAATGTTAGGTTTTTATCTAAAATTTCATTTATAATACAACATTTTCTGTAACTTTTCATTTAAAGACCCTGTAACTATTTGGTTTAATGTCTGTTAAGTACTGTATATTACCTTAAAAAACAACTTAATTCACAAAAAGCCACTAAAATGTATCTTTTTACCCTGCAATGTTTACAGAGTAAGTGGATTTTTATTATTGAAATATTCATCAACATATTGGTGAAGTTGCAATGAAAACTTACAGGCAACCTACAGGCTTACAGGCTTACTATTTTGTAATGGACATTACACGTGACACCAATAAATTTGCAATGATAAAAACCAATTTAATCTTGTGGTTATGAAAGTAGATTTTCAAAGACCTTATTAATATCTAGTTCTGACAGAGCAAATCCGAAAGACATCCAGGGGATATAAAAAACATTATTCTAA